TGCCGTTTAATTGAAATTGATAAGTCGGTTATTAGTTCAGATTAATTTACTACGTTTTCGACATGTATTAGGTACTTTATATTCATTCATGAACTACTTTGCTTCATATGATAGCCATGCATAAAACAAAATAAAACACTGTTCTTACCTTTTCTTTTGTTGGTAAAGTCTGAGTTCTGGTAAACGTGTCTCCTCCATCAATGCTAATCAGTTCCGCATCTACAGGTGGAAATTGTGCGGGGAAAACCACTACATCACTCTTCAGTGTGTCTGAGCTGAAACACACGTCATACTGCTGGGTAGCTTTAGAGTAAGACCAGCTACCGTCAGGGTGGGTGGTGATCATGGGGGCGCTGTACCTGCTAAAATCGTGATTTGTTCTATGGCATCTGACAGCTATTAAACTGATGAGACTCAGTAGAAAGATCAAAGACACTGACCCAATTGCGATCAGCAGATACAAGTTCAAATCAGAGAAGTTGTCATCTTTTAAATGCACATGTCTGAACTGAGTCTGGTCACCAGCTATGCTTTCAACAACCACCACCTCTATAGACACAGTAGCCGATAGTGAAGGTTCTCCATGATCAGAAACTAGAATCAACAATGGGTGGGTTTTCAGGTCATTGTCGCTCATTCTTCTTTTAGTCCTGATCTCCCCAGTACTGGTTCCGATCCTGAACAAGTTGTTTCCTTTCGGCTCAGACATATGATAAGAAAGCAACGCATTGTATCCAGAGTCTGCGTCCACAGCCCTGATCTTTGCTACAAAGTATCCGGATTCAACAGAATAAGGGATGGTCTCACTGTTAACGGATCCGTGCTCTGTATAAGGTGCTAAAATAGTTGGATTATTATCATTTTCATCCAGAATCAAAATGTTAACAGTCACGTTGCTGCTGAGTGGAGGAACACCCGAGTCTGTGGCCTGAACTTTAAACTGAAACGTTTTTAATTCCTCATAGTTAAAGGACTTAAGGTTGATTATATCTCCGGTCTCTGAGTTTATGTTAACTATTGAACTAACTGAGAGCAAGTGATTATTATCATATAAAAGCGAGTAGCTAACCCGGCCATTTTGATCAATGTCTGCATCAACTGCTGACACCGTTTTAATAATTGTTCCTGGTGGAGTGTTTTCTTTTATAAATATGTTAATAGTTTCTTCTGTGAAACGAGGTTTGTTGTCATTTACATCAAAAACGTGCACAACAATGATGCTGGTGCTGGAAAGAGGTGGACTGCCCTCATCTATGACAGTTATACTAATGTTATAGTAAGGTGCTGTTTCTCTGTCCAGAGGTCCATTAATTACTAAAGAATAGTAATTTTTATAGTTTGACTCTAATTTAAAAGGGACATTATCTGAAATTTTGCAATTAACTATTCCATTGTTACTGCTGTCTTTATCAAATACTGAAACAAGAGCTACAGCGGTGCCAATGGGGGCATCCTCTTTTACTACATTTAACAAGGTTGTAATTACGATTTCAGGTGCATTGTCATTCACGTCTAGTACTTCAATAAGCAATTTTGCATTTGAAGTCATAGGTGAGGAAGCACCGTCGCTGGCCTGAACTTGAATTTCAAATGCAGGGTTCTCTTCATAGTCTATATTCTTTTTAGCTGTAACTGTTCCGGTGTTTGCATCGATTTCAAACAGCTCGGTCTGTTTACCACGTCCTACTTCACTGAATGAATAGGTTACCTGCCCATTTTTTCCTTCGTCTAAATCCGTAGCATTTAAAGTTATAATAGCAGTACCCAGCTTTGCGTTCTCATAGATCCTGGCTTTGTACAGCGTTTGACTGAAAACGGGAGCGTTGTCATTGATATCCAACACATTGACTATTACCACCATAGAGCCCGATTTAGCAGGTGTTCCCCCGTCCAATGCCGTCAAAATGAGCCGAATTACAGATTGTTTTTCTCTATCTAAGGCTTTCTGAAGCACCAGTTCTGGTGTTACCGCCCCCCCTTTTTGTGTTACTATAGAGAAATATTCATTTTGACTAAGCCCATAGCTGTGCACGGTGTTTTTGCCAATGTCTGCATCGTGAGCTGGGTGCAGCAGAAATTTAGTCCCCTTTGCCGTTTGTTCGTTAATGTTAATCATTTGTGGATTAATAAGAAAAACAGGGACGTTATCATTTACGTCTAAAATTTGAATTTCAATGCGGTACAGTTTAAGGGGATTATTGATAACGGCTTCTATACTTATTGAGCATTTAGGATCATTATTACAGAGTTCTTCTCGATCTATTCTCCCATTCACATACAGAGCACCAGTCTTAAGATTTACCTCAAAATATCTTTTCTTCGCACCAGTAACGATCTGGAACATACGCGTTTCCAGATCTTTGATATTAAGGTTGAGATCTTTGGCAATATTTCCAACCACAGTTCCTTCGTTAACCTCTTCTGAAACGGAATACGAAAGCTGTCCTAAAGCCGTATTCCACAAACAATCCAGCAGCACAAAGACGAGGTATATCCGCGCAGAGCTGGCTCTCACCGGAGAATGCATATTCCAAATGCCTTGATTTATTTTGTCCACAAATTACAGGCTGACTGGCTGACTGTTAGAGAATGAATTGAAAAAAAAAAAATCAAAAAGCATCTCCCCAAAAAACGAATAACAGTTGCGTCCTTCAGTTACAAGTCCATCTTCTCTTTGTTTCACATAGATGTCGGAGACACGTCATGCATATCTAATTGTAGGAGGAGCTCCGACAAATAAAAAGGGCCAGTGAAGATACCACGGTCTACAAGGTCCCCATGTGGACAAATGCAAAGACTACAATCATGAGAAAATTTAGGGACGTGCAACCTAATAATCTTTAAGACAACTTTAATTTTTACTAACTTTTTTACTCCAACATATATTATTAATATATTATATTTTATATATACATATTCTGCATAAATCCACAAAACACGTTTCGTGTTCATTTCTTAAAAAGGCTCTTTATCTCCAGAGATTACTAAACACATCTTTATCGTCTCTATTTCTTTTTTTTATTTCTATTTCTGAACCATTACCCTATCTAGGAGACTTCCAACCATCATTATCCATTGAATTATTATAACTGAAGGTTAAAAAAAAAGTTTAATATGGAATCAAAGCAGAAACATAAACAATACTTATTTACCACTTTAGAAACTGTTGTCACTTTAACGATCACATTTGATTGTAAATTCTACATCTCAGTAATATTTCAGCCTTTTTAAAATGGAAGAAACTTATTTGTATTTAAAGTTGAAATATGTTGAACTCTTTATAGACATATTTTTATTTTAAAAGAAATGCAGATGTGTAGAGCAAATTTCTGCAATTAAAAAAAGTTGAGATCTTGGGGAGTGATATATCAAAAAAACAGATTGAGCACCACGGCTAGTAATCCGACAAAAGGTCTTGTGACTCCGACCCTATAATCTCCTATATTCTCCTTCTGTGCTTCTGTCTTTTTGCGCAATATGCTCTCATGTAATCGGGATAAATTTCACTATCAAAACCCACATATTAAGATATACAAGACACTCCTTTTGGGGTTTTCCCTAATACATATGTGGAAAAAGTCTGCATTTGTGGACACAGTGATATTTTTTGAATATTTAACTCAAAAACAATCATATAAAAAAGAGAAAAATAGAAACAACATATACATTTGATAGGACTGCAAGGTATTACCTTCTCTTTCATGATAATACAAGCTGCTAAGTGTATATTTCCTTTGTCACTAAGAACAGCAGTTATAGACAGCATAATTAGTTTTACTTTTTACCGAATACAAGGAACATTCACGGGAGAAATCTCCTAGAAATGTTCACAGTTAAAAGCACTTTCCTCAAAAAGAGCTTTTTTAAGCTGAACTCTTTGCTGACAGAATGATATTACAAGTAAGAGTGAGGAGAGAATTTTTAGAGCAATAATTACAGAGGGTGGAGATTAAGTAAAATATTCAGTTTTCTCTGCCATATTTGTTTGACTCTTCTGGTATTTATGTTTTACTGGTGAGGTTTTGAGAGGCACTGACGAGAGACACTTTGTTAACATAGAGGTAAAGAATGTGACCATTGTGGGGAGACCTCAGTCATTAACATGGCTACCAAGGATTCGATGCCCATTTAGTTGGCCTTTGCCACACGTCTTTACCCTATCGCACAACAAAATATCCTACCTGTCTTCTATCAAGTAAAAGTAACCACTGGGAAAAAAGAGACACTGGATTCTAGAGGATCCAGTAATAAACAAGTAAATGGGCTCTATGCACAAGTTCAATACTTCCTCAACTTAAGGTAGCTCTTTTGTTTCCTGTCTTTCATTACTTGCCAAACTGATAAATGCAGCTCTGTCTGACCATGATTACTGAGGCCAGGCACGTCAGTTCATCCAGTAGAAAAAGAAAGGAAACAAAATCCTGCCTTAAGTTCAGGCAGTAGTGGAATGGTGCATAGAGCCCATTATCTCAGTTGAGGAAATTCTACTTTAAAATAGACATCTCAGAACAGGACTCTCAATGCGGAATACATAAACATAGACCCTTTTCATTTCCCCCAATTAAGACTATACAAGCTTTGATGCGATAAAGAAATCTAAATTATATAATCAAAAATGATTGTAGGAAATTCTGTTTAACTCTCTCACATCCATCCATACTGTACCTTCTATTACGTAAGTTATTCATAAAAGGCATCTTAAAAGGGTGCGAATAGCTGAAACTATGGCAATACCAAAAACTAGAAAGATCAAGGAAATGAAAAAATATCACAAAATGCAAAATCTAACCAACAAAAACACATTTAAAGTAGACAATAAAGATAAGATAATTAATTACAAAATGGCTGAGAAGTAAACCTTTCCTTCTCTGTGGGTAAAGTCTGAGTTGTTGTAAAATTGTCCCCTCCATCAACACTGATCAGTTAATCATCTACATGTGGAAATTGAGAGGAAAACCACTACATCAGCCCTCAGGATGTCTGAGCTGAAACACAGGTCATACTGCTGGTTAGCCTTGAAGTAAGTCTAGCTTCCACCAGGGTGAATGGTGATCATAGAGGCACTGTACCTGCTAAAATCATGATTTGTTTCCTTTGGGCTCAGACAAGTGATAAGAAAGCAGCGCATTGTATCCAGAGTCTGCATCCACAACTCCTAAGTATCCTGTTTCAGCAGTATAAGAGATGGTCACACTGTTAACAAATCTTTTATGTGTAACTAGAAAAATATTTTTTTGATGAAGCCTGTACATATTAAAAGTATTCTTTTCAAAGTCTGAGTCTTCAGCAGGATTCATTGGAAATTTAGGCTGTGTTGCTGTGTTTTCACTGATGTTCATATATAGTAACGTGCTTGGAAAAGATGGAGAATCATCGTTTACATCCAGGATGGTAATTTAAAAGTGGTAGTTTAAGTGGATTATTAATAACTGCTTCTACATTAAATGAACTTTTGGCTTCATCGCCAAAGAGTTCCTCTCTTTCTATTCTCTCCTAGAGGTACAGAGCACCAGTATTTAGGTTTATCTCAACTACCTAATATTTGATCCAGTAAATATCTGAAACATGCAGGCCTCCAGCTCCTGGATGTTAAGATTAAGATCCTCTGCAATTTTTCCAAAAAAGGTTCCACGGTCCACCTACTCCGTAATGGAATAAGCAAGATGTCCAAAACTTGTCTTGACCTAACATTCCATCAGTACGAAAATAACATATATCAACACAGATCTCAATTCTTCTATTCTATGCATATTCGAATGTGACTATACAATGCTACAATCAATTTAGAAAGGAATGTATCTTTACTGATTTTTCTAAAACATTGTTCAAATGTGCCCCAATCATAATGATATTCTTACCATGACACAAAGCCTTCAGGAAAAGTTCATCTAAACACTCCTTTTCAGTAATGTTTCACTCCTGAGATCATAGCCATTTTCAGCACCATGGACAGTGAGAAATCATTAAAAGACAAGCTGGCATCTCTAAATAAAGCCGTAATAATAAACACAGAAACAAGCGTGTTTGCTCAAACTAAGAGTAAACAAAGTAATAGATCAATCAATCAGTCAGTGAATTAATCGATCAATGGAGGAATAAAACATCTGTCTCCAGTACCTTAGCTGCAATACCAGGAAAGTTTCTTATCAACTCTATATAATCACTTACCGGTTTACATATAAAGAAGGAAAACAAATCTATAGATTTTGGTTAAGTTGACAAGATATTTCCAACACTCAACCATCCCCAAAACAACAAAAAGAACTTTCTTTCTTAAAAAACGTGTTGCACAGTGAACATGTTAAAACATCCTGACACATAAAAGGGATTGGGTTATGATCAGCCCTCGGTAAATCCCCGCTTCAAAGCCATAATGAGCAGAGATTTTAATACAATAAAATTTCAAAGTTCAAAATCATATTATATTGGGAACTATGAAGTACATTTTTATTAATTAAAATGTGAATATTTAAAATGGCAGTTTCTGAAAAGTTAGAAATGTCTAATGTTGGTATTAAAATAAGATACTTTGCAACATTTTCAAAGAACAAACGTATTTTTTTATAAGACTTAACAAAATCATTAAATATCGGGATAAAATATGTTAACTCAGAAGGGGCTTACCTTGTCATTGTTTGGTAAAGTCTGAGTTCTGGTAAAAGTGTCTCCTCCATTAATACTAATAAGTTCAGCATCTATAGCTGGAAACGGAGCAGGGAATACCACTACATCACTCTTCAGTGTGTCTGAGCTGAAACACACATCATATTGCTGCGTAGCTTTAGAGTAAGACCAGCTCCCGTCAGGGTGGGTGGTGATCATGGGGGTGTGATACTTGCTGAAAGTTCTGTCTGTCCTGTAGCATCTGGCTGCTATTAAACTGATCAGACTCAGTAGAAAGATCACAGAAACGGAAATGATGGATATCAGCAGATATAAATTTAAATCAGATAGGTCATCTTCTTTTGTAGGCAAATGCCTAAACTGCGTCTGAACACCAGGTATGCTTTCAACAACCATCACCTCAACAGACACAGTAGCTGACAGAGAAGGTTCTCCATTATCAGAAACCACCACCACCAACGGGTGAGTTTTAAGGTCATTGTCACTCATTTTCCTTTTAGTTCTTATTTCCCCCGTGCTGGTTCCGATCCTGAACAAGTTGTTTCCTTTGGGCTCAGACAGGTGATATGAAAGCAATGCATTGTATCCAGAATCCGCATCCACAGCCCTGATCTTTGCTACAAAGTATCCTGCTTCAGCAGAATAAGGGATGGTCTCACTGTTAACGGATCCGTGCTCAGAATAGGGTGCTAATATACTTGGGCTATTATCATTTTCATCCAGTATTAAAACATTTACTGTAACATTGCTGCTGAGTGGAGGAATACCAGAGTCTGTGGCCTGAACTTTAAAATGAAACGTTTTTAACTCCTCATAGTTAAAAGACTGAAGAGTTATTAAATCACCTGTTTCTGAATTAATGTTAAGAAGTTTAGAAATACCTAGTGAGTCACTTTTAGTTTGTAAAAATGAATAGGTAACCCGACCATTACTATCAATATCGGCATCAAATGCAGAAACAGTTTTAATAACTGCCCCCACCGGGCTGTTCTCTTTTACATATATGTTAATTTGGGGTTCAGAGAAACGAGGTGGGTTGTCATTAACATCNGAGGTGTGTTATCATTAACATCAGAGACGTGTAAGAGAATGACACTTGTGCTGGAGAGGGGTGGACTACCTTCGTCTGTAGCTATGATGCTAATATTATATTGAGGCGCCTTTTCTCTGTCTAAATGTGCGCCCACAACTAAAGAGTAGTAGTTGTTGTAATTTGACTCTAACTTGAAAGGGACGTTATTGGAAATTTCGCAATTAACCTTTGCATTTTTACCCGCGTCTTTGTCAGAGATAGAAACCAGAGCAATCGCGGTGCCAATGGATGCATCCTCCTTCACTGTGTTTAACAAAGATGTTACTGTAATTTCAGGCGCATTGTCATTCACGTCTAATACTTCAATAAGTAATTTAGCATGCGAGGTGAGGGGCGAGGCTGCCTTATCACTGGCCTGAACTCGAATCTCAAAAGCTGTATTCTCTTCAAAATCTATATTCCTCTTAATTTTTATAGTTCCAGTTTTCTCATCTATTTCAAACAAATCGGTTTGTTTTTCCCGACCCATTTTACTAAATGAATAAACCACCTCTCCATTTTGCCCTGCATCCAAATCAGTGGCATTCACCGTTACTATCGACGTACCTATTTTTGCATTCTCATGCACTTTGGCTGTGTACAGAGTCTTACTGAATATTGGTGCGTTGTCATTAACATCTAAAACATGTATTAATATTGTCATACTGCCTGACTTAGCTGGTGTCCCCCCATCAACCGCAGTTAGTAGCAGCTGAAGCTCAGACTGTTGTTCTCTGTCTAAAGCTTTCTGCAGCACGAGTTCGGGAGCAACGATTTCTCCTTTATTTGTAACCAGAGAAAAATAATTATTTTGACTAAGCTTGTACATATTGACGGTGTTTTTACCGAAGTCCAAATCTTCAGCAGCATTGATTGGGAATTTAGCCCCTGCTGCTGTGTTTTCTCCGACATTTAGAGATAATAATTTGTTGGGAAAGGATGGGGAATTATCGTTTACATCCAGGATTGCAATTTCAAAACGGTACAATTTAAGTGGATTATTAATAACAGCTTCTACATTAAGCGAACATTGTGCTTCAGTACCACAGAGGTCCTCTCGATCTATTCTCTCATTTACGTACAGAGCACCAGTCTTCAGGTTTACCGCAAAATATTTTTTCTTTGATCCAGTAACGATCTGAAACATGCGGGCTTCCAGCTCCTGGACGTTAAGATTGAGATCTTTGGCAATGTTTCCAACAAAGGTTCCACGATTCACCTCTTCTGAGACGGAATAAGAAGGATTTCCAAACGCAGTATCCAAGTAGTAATCCACCAGAACAACGATGACATATATCCACACAGAACAAAATCTTCCCTGCCAACGCATATTTAAATTTATAAAAGTGACAAAAATCTATTTCGCAAAAACATATGTTAATTATAACCTAAATACATTTCTGAAAGAAATGAGCCAAACGTAATGATTTGAGGTATGTTTCATCTAGAAAAAAACAGATCTCCACGCCGTCATCTTCACCGTATAAATCCCTTTGTCTTTGTGGGTTTTTAAACGTGTAGCCTACTAAGGAAGGGCGGGCTTCAAATATCATATATCCAGCTAAAATGTGATGGTCTACATTGTCCCCATGTGGACATATGCAGGCAGTGCATGCAGAAAGGATAATTTGATAATTACAACCATGTTTGTCTTCCAACAGAAATAAATCCCTATGTTTCGATCAGAGGATGATATTGATCACTAGCTGGTCCATGTTTCTCGCCAATTTAACTTCTGTGATTACCATTTTCTAAGCAACACTTCACTTTCAGACAATCAAATATCAAATATTGTGGAATTCTTAAATCCTCCAAACTGAAGACATATCTCTGTATACATTCCAGACCTATGTTTCAGTGGTTACTATGAGTCTTATTTTTATTTATTTATCTTTAATGCTAATTTTGGAAGGCTTGACTGTTTTTCAAATTGAGAATTGTGGATATATTAACAGAACACAACGTTGACCAAAATGAACTTTTATAAATTCCAAGATTTTTAATACACACTATTTCGCTCTTAAGAGCACATCTGCCACAACCTCTTTCAGAACCATGGAGAGCACCATAAAAAGTCAAAGTAGCACTACTGCAGCCACAGTTCAGAACTTCTTGTATTAATTAAAAATAACATGCTTGCTGGAAGTAAGAATAAATTAAACTTCTGGCTCCCAAATCTCACTAGGCACACCTTGAAGGTTTAATAACAATATTATATAGTTACTTAATGCTTGAAAGAAAATATATTGAAAGATATAAAAAAAAATGTCCATATTCGGGCTGGGTAAAGATAACTGTTCATTTTCTGAAAAAAATAGTTAATCTTTTACAAGACTTTTGAGGCACAACAAAAATTGTTAGACTTTCCAAAAATTGGGGGTGGGGGGATACTAGCATCAGTAAATCCAAGCTTGTTATACAATTACATTATAAATCTGAAACTTATTTGCATAAATAGGCCATTTTGTGGAAGGGTACAACATATTGACAGTTTCACTTTCAGTGCTTTAGAAATGTTAATACACACAATGGGACTATTTAAAGAAACAAATTGAAAAATGTAGTCAATCTACAAACCTAGTCAAGAATATTTGCATCAGGCTGCTGACAAGTATCACATACATTCAAATTTGGAGAATATTATACATAAAACTTCAAATATAGGTTTCAAAAAGCATTGAAGATAAAAAAAAAAATAGCTTACCTTTTCTTTATTTGGTAAAGTCTGAGTTCTGTTAAAAGTATCCCCTCCATTAATACTGATCAGTTCAGCATCTACAGGTGGAAACGGTGTGGGAAAAACCACTACATCACTTTTCAGCGTGTCTGAGCTGAAACACACATCATACTGCTGTGTAGCTTTGGAGTAAGACCAGCTCCCATCAGGGTGGGTGGTGATCATGGGGGCGCTGTACCTGCTAAAATCGCTGTCAGTCCTGTGGCATCTGACAGCTATTAGGATGATTAGACTCAGCAAAAAGATCACAGAGACTGACACAATGGCGATCAGCAGATATACGTTCAAATCAGAGAAGTTGTCCACCTTTACAGGCACCTGTCTGAACTGATTTTGGATGTCAGCTGTGTTTTCAACCACCATCACCTCAATAGACACAGTAGCTGACAGGGAAGGTTCTCCATTATCAGTAACCAGAACCAACATGGGGTGGGTTTTCAGGTCATTGTCGCTCATTCTCCTCTTAGTCCTGATTTCTCCAGTACTGGTTCCGATCCTGAACAAGTTGTTTCCTTTTGTCTCAGACATATGATATGAAAGCAATGCATTGTATCCAGAGTCTGCGTCCACAGCCCTGATCTTTGCTACAAAATATCCTGCTTCAGCAGAGTATGGGATGGTCTCTCGGTAAACAGAGCCAAGCTCAGAATAGGGATCTAAAATGGTTGGATTATTGTCATTTTCATCCAAGATTATAACCTTTACTGTAACATTGCTGCTGAGTGGAGGAACACCCAAGTCTGTCGCCTGAACTTTAAATTGAAACGTTTTCAACTCCTCATGGTTAAAAGACTGCAGAGTTATTATATCACCCGTTTCTGAATTAATGTTAACAAGCTTAGAGGAACTCAGTGAGTCACTGTTAGTTTGTAAAAAGGAATAGGACACCCGGCCATTATTATCACTATCAGCATCAAATGCTGAAACCGTTTTAATAATTGCCCCTACCGGGCTATTCTCTTTTACATAAACATTAATTTGGGGCTCAGAGAAACGGGGTGGGTTGTCATTAACATCAGATACTTTAATATTTACAGTGTTGGTGCTGGAGAGAGAGGGAGTCCCTTCATCAGTGGCTAGGATAGTTATATTATATTCAGAAACCGTCTCTCTATTTAGTGTCCCACTAACTACTAATGAGTAATAATTTTTATAATTTGTTTCCAGCTTAAATGGGACTTCATTTGGAATAACAGCTTTTACCTCTCCATTTTTCCCACCATCTTTGTCCTGCACAGACACAAGAGCAATAGCAGTACCAGGTTGTGCATCCTCCTTCACTGTGTTTAGCAATGATGTTACTGTGATCTCAGGAGCATTATCGTTTAAGTCTAGTACCTCTACCAGCACTTTACAGTGAGCAGACATTGGAGGATGACCTTTGTCACTTGCCTGTGCATGAATTTCAAAGGCAGGGTTTACCTCATAGTCAACATTACCTTTGATTAGAACAGCACCTGTTTTAGAGTCAATCTGAAATAGATCTAAAACTTGATCTTGACCTTTAGTTCTTAAAGAATATTGTATTTCAGCGTTTATCCCATCATCGGCATCTACTGCATTCAAAACTATAACTGTACTACCCACTGATATGTTCTCAGATATCCTCGCTTTGTACAGAGAACTACTAAAAACCGGGGAGTTGTCATTGATATCCAAAACTGTGATAACAATCTGTGCTGTCCCTGACTTTGGTGGATTTCCCCCATCCAGAGCCGTCACAGTAAGTTTAATGGTCGGCTGCTTTTCTCGGTCCAGAGCCTTCTGAAGCACAAGCTCAGCTGACACACTGTCTTCACTTTTGTGGATCTCTAAAGAGAAATAATCGTTTCGACTGAGTTTGTATGTGCTGACACTGTTCTTTGCGACATCCAGATCTGAAGCGCCTACAAATCCAAATTTCCCCCCTGGCACGGTACTTTCGGCTATATTTAGAGACTGCAGTTTTTCAGAAAAATACGGTGCATTATCATTTATATCAATAATATTTATTACCAATCGATACAGCTTCAGTGGATTATTTAGAACGGCCTCTACATTAACAGCGCATTGTGCTGCCTTAGCGCAAAGCTCCTCTCGGTCGATTCTTTCACTGACATAGAGGCTGCCCGTTTTCAGATTTACGTCGAAGTATTTTCTTTTAGATCCGCTGACAATCTGAAACATCCGTGTCTCCAGGTCTTGCAGGTTAAGATTTAAATCCTTTGCGAGATTTCCCACAGACGTACCGGGATTTACCTCCTCTGATATAGAATATGAGAGCTGTCCACATCCCGGTTTGCAGAAACATTCCAAAATAACAAAGAGCAAATAGATCCTTAAAGGTCCGTGTATTTTTCCAGTCGGCATATTGTTATCCAGTTCGTTGGAAGCGCGTCCTGGACGGTAATGTCCGTTTAATGTAATGATTCTTTAATGTTATTCACGGGGTATCATAAACGATCACTGATTTAAAAATAAATGGGCAAAAGGATATTCGTCCTCTTCTGTTCTGCGTCTCTTTGTTACAAATCACTGAGGAAACGGCATCCTATGAATTTGGGAGGGTCCATAAGCAGGCTACACATGCCATGCGACGGTCTATGATGTCCCCAAGTGGTTGTTTAAATCACTACATTCAAGACTGGTGATCTTATTCATCAGCATCCGTTTTGTATTTTTGGTCTAATTTCTTTAAATCTAAAATAAATGACTTATAGGATATATTTTGAACACATAAATTAAAAATAAACATTAAAAATAATTCCAACTAAAATTCATAGAACACTGCCCAACGTCATTTTCCTTTATAAAGACCGTTAAGGTTTAATATTAGCATGCCCCTTCCCACAAAAAAAATGTTTGTATCTTTTTTCAGCACCATGGATAACGACACTTAAATCTCAAACACACCCTCTAGACATATGAACGTTTTTTTTAAGCCCATGCAACAATATGTTTAAAAAAGGATACCCACATGAATACATTATGCCGTGCAAAAATAAATTAATAAATAAAATAAAAGTTTTCTATATTCCCACACTTCATTAACATTTTCAAAAATTAAAGTTGCAGTACATATAATGGAATTATCTTACCTGTTCTTTGTTTGGTAAAGTCTGAGTTTTGTCAAAAGTGTCTCCTCCATTAAAACTGATCAGTTCAGCATCTACAGGTGAAAACGGTGTTGGCAAAACCACTACATCACTCTTCATTGTGTCTGAGCTGAAACACACGTCATATTGCTGAGTAGCTGTAGAGTAGGACCAGCTCCCGTCAGGATGGGTGGTGATCATGGGGGTGTCATACTTCCTGAAATTGCCTTCTGTCCTGTGGCATCTGACAACTACTAAACTAATAAAGCTCAGCAGAAATATTACGGAGACTGAAACAATGGCAATAAGCAGGTACAAGTTCAAATCAGAAAGGTGGTTCTCCTTGATAGGGACATGTTTAAATTGAGTCGCAACATCAGAAGTGCTTTCAACCACCATCACCTCAATAGACACAGTAGCTGACAGGGAAGGTTCTCCATTATCAGAAACCAGAACCACCAAAGGATGAATTTTCAGGTCATTGTCACTCATTCTCCTCTTAGTCCTGATTTCTCCAGTGCTGGTTCCGATCCTGAAGAGGTTGTTTCCTTTGGGTTCTGACAGGTGATAAGAAAGCAGCGCATTGTATCCAGAGTCTGCGTCCACAGCCCTAATCTTTGCTACAAAGTGTCCTGCTTCGGCAGAATATGGAATAGTCTCACTGTTAACAGAGCCATGCTCAGAATAGGGAGGTAAAATTGATGGAATATTATCATTTTCATCCAGAATTAAAACATTAACAGTCACATTGCTGCTGAGCGGAGGAACACCAGAGTCTGTAGCCTGAAGTTTAAACTGAAAGGTTTTCAACTCCTCATAGTTGAAAGACTTTAGGCTTATTATTTCTCCTGTCTTTGAATTAACACTTATTAGTGTAGATAATGGGATCATATTACTAGTACTTTGTAAAAATGAATAGCTCACCCTGCTGTTCTGCTCACTGTCAGCATCAGATGCAGTCACTTTTTTAAGCATGTCTCCAACTTCCCCGTTTTCCTTCACATGTACAGTTATCACATCCTCTGCAAAAAGCGGTGCATTATCATTTACATCAGAAACAGTTATAGAAACTGTATGTGTATTTGAAAGCTTTGGGATTCCATTGTCAGAAGCAGCTATGGTAATGTTGTAGTTAGAAATTTTCTCCCTGTCTAGTGGCCCATCAACTAACAAGGAATAATAATTTTTATAGTTGGTTTCTAGTTTGAATGGGACATAATTCCTAATTTGAATCTTAACATCACCATTATTTCCGCTATCTTTATCTTGGACTGACACAAGTGCGACAACGGTGCCAATTGCGGCATCCTCCTTTACAGTTTGATGTAATAAGGTGAGAGTGATTTCAGGAGCGTTATCATTTAGATCCAAAACTTCCACCAACACCTTACTGTGAGTCGACATTGGTGGCTGTCCTTTATCACTTGCTTCTACGCGTATTTCAAATGCTTTTCTCTCCTCAAAATCTATATTGCCTTTTACCTTGATGATCCCTGTCTGTGGTTCAATTAAAAACATATCTAATATGTGATCCTGGTCTTTGCTCCTCAATGAATAAACAATCTCACTGTTTAGACCATCGTCTACATCGGTGGCACTCACAGCAAGCACTGTGGTTCCTACTAGTGCATTTTCTGTAATATTTGCTTTATAAAGCGATTTGCTGAAGATAGGAATGTTATCATTATTGTCTAAAACTTTTACAGTAATCTGTGAGGTGCCTGATTTAGGAGGACTCCCACCATCTAACGCAGTCAGTGTCATGGTGATCACAGGCTGCCTTTCTCTGTCTAATGCCTTCTGCAACACCAGCTCTGCAGACACACTGTCACCTAATTTGTGCACAGCCAAAGAAAAATGCTCATTCAGACTTAATTTGTAAGAACTGACCCCGTTTTTCCCTATATCTGCATCGGTCGCTTCAGATAAAGCAAATTTCACTCCTGGTAAAGTACTCTCAGCAATATACAGATTCTGCTGTGTGGTGGTAAAGGATGGGGCATTGTCATTTACATCTAAAATTTCAAAGTCAATATGGTACAATTTCAATGGATTATTTATCACAGCTTCTACATTAATTGAGCATCTTGGCTCCTCTAAACAAAGCTCTTCCCTATCTATTCTTTCATTGACAAAGACAACACCCGTCTTAAGGTTAACCTCAAATAATTTTTTCTTTGATCTTGAAACAATCTGAAACATACGAGATTCCAGATCCTGTGTGTTGAGGTTTAGATCCTTGGCAATATTTCCAATCGGTGTTCCTGGGATTACCTCCTCTGAAACGGAATAAGAGAGCTGTCCAGCCACCATTTGTAGGCAAGAGTGGAGTAAAAAAAGGCAAAAATACATCTCCAAAAGCCTCAATACACAAGAGAAAGACATTTCTGTCCAATATAGATGAAGAATGTGAACACACTCAATGTCAACGTGGAAAATTCCAGATGCAGTATGATAGTAAGTGCACTGAATGGTTGTAAAATTTAGCGTCCTTTTATACCACCCTCAGTGCCTGTAAGACTGACAGAATGTTCAGCTGAATACAGGAGGTGCTTAGATGCTTCAAAAATGCACTGCTCTCTTTGATAGAGCATCAGTGACACTTAGTGGAGAACTGGTGACACAGGCAGAGCAAAAAGGTTTACTCTTCATGAAACATGTGCTTTTTGCATGACCAAACTGAAAGACGTGTCAGTCTCACAAAGTGTGGCTCATATCACTTCATTATAAGACACTTTAATCTCATATCACCCTTTTTAAAAAAAAAAATGTATTTACCTAAAACTGTAAAAAAAAAAAAAAGTCTGTAAAATATACAGCAAAACATGCACCGTCAAATAGCGACAGTAAAGACCGTGAAACCAAAAGCGGTCTTTTAATTTATGAAATACATTAAATAATGGTTAATCAAGTGACTGGAAAAAACACAGAATATTACTCTAAAAATAAATAAAACTCACATTGATTCACTGTGAAAATCAATAAATTTGCATATATAAAAAAATATATTGTAAAGATAAAAATATCTAAAACATTAAATTTTAAGACATTATTTAGATAAAACTACAGGTTACTGAGTACTGCACATTAAAATTTACATTAAATACTGGTTGATTGTGAAGCAAGCATGAACTTTAATTTCTACAGAAGCTATCCATCCATCCATCAATTATCTGACACACTTTTCCCGAGTGGGGTCGCAAGGGGTGCTGGTGCCTATCTCCAGCTGTCAATGGGCGAGAGGCGGGGTATGACAATATAGTAAAGTAAACAAATTGCACCCTTTGTTTTCAATGCTTCTTAATCTCCTGTTTCATTTTTTAAAGAAGTATGAAAAAAATAGCATATCATTGAATAAAGAAGAGGTAAATTCAAAGTTAAATCAGTTCTTAAAACTGTAAATGTAGATAACTATATGCAAAAGCTGCATTTAAAATGTTTATGACATTGTTTTGTCTACTTGCCTTTTATTTGTGCTATAGACTTTTTGATGCATTGCAAGCTCATATTAGCAGTACATAATGACCTATCTACTAGAAAGCATCCAAGAATATTTTTTAATCCGTTTTTGCATGATGATGGTCAAAGATAATGTAAAACTATGCAAAATGTTTTTTTTATTCATTTATATAAATCTTTGCTTTAATTGATATAGTCAGATAAAAATCATTAGAAAACCAAAAAGAACAAAAAGAAACAAAGAAAATCACATTACAAATCTTTTATTGTGACCATTCAAATTGCAAAGCGCTCAAAGAAAACATATTTTCACTCCTCTATTCTAAGCTGTTATCCATTCAACAACCTCACTGAGCATTTTCGCCAATAGGAGATACAAATAAGAGATACAAATAAGAGACAGCCGGCATAATTTCTTCACCACACTAACAGAAGACGCAGCTTCAACCTGTTCTGACATCTTCTCCGTTTTCTTAGGTTTTCCCGTCCTAGACTGCCTAAAATGAATGGCAGGAGAGTACATTAAATATCTTATTGAACTCAACCCTACCAACAGTGAAATAATCCACAAAATATGAATATGTCACTTGCAAAAAAGTTGTTATTGCTTATTTTATGACCTCTACAATTTCTTTTTTGCATTGTTTTTTCAACTTTAAGGTATAATATGTCTTTTACAGACCATACCCTCTCAAATGCTGAATTAACAAAAAAAATCATAAAATATGAATACTTCACCTGCCAAAAAGGGATTTATGCTTATTTTTTTGACCTGTACAATGTATTTCCTGCCTGAAATTGCTTAATTCCATATCTTACTGAATTCACCCCTTCCAACACAGAAATAATCCATAAAATCCACAAAATATGATTATTTCACTTGCTAAAACTTGAGTATTGCTTGTTCATTTACATGGTAAATGTAATTTTTGCTCAAGTTATGTTTACTTCTTTCTATTACTGCCGTTGTTGGATTATTTTTCGTCAATGACTATTTTCTGTCAGCCTTTTTTATCGCCTATTTAATTTCACTCCATAGCACTAGTTTTGCTGTGCGCTCACCGCTGGCAATTTGTCTCCCTTATCCTCTCCTGTCAGAAGCTTTTTACTGTTGATACTGGATTTGAGCGTGACATAAAAATGGCAGCAGCGGGTGAGTCTGGATTGAGGATGGATGCATCTGCTAGAACACCAAAATTATCCAAAGCATGGGAATACTTTCGAGCAAGTGGTGATAGAGTGTTTTGTACACTCTGTAATGCTGCGTTCACAGGGCATCAGAAAGGCAAAGATGCAGAAACCTGGATGCTGGAACACACTGCGGTCAAGCTGCTTTGATGCTTCGACGCTCTGGATTCTCTGCGCTCTCGTTTTTATCTGCTCTGTTCTGTAGCTTCAAGCTAGAAAGCGTTGCAAATAGCCATAGTTTAAATTACTAAATTGGTGGAGGAAAAATGGATTTTAAACAGCCGATTCATGAGTTCAACTTTTTATGTAAGAGAATAAGAATCCTGGTCAGCAAACAAATTACAGTTATAATCATTAAACTGATAATAATTAGTTTTATCCTTGATTTGAACGACCTATTAATTCACTATAACTTCCACATCTTGTTATTTAATATGGTCATAATTTTCTGGTAATCTTGCATAACACCTACAGTATGTCATATGTTACATTATTTTCTAATAGTGCAGACAATATGATTTGTGCTGACCGCTTTCCCAGATGTTATCTAAAATGGTCTTACTGTTTTTCAGTGATAATAATGTAAAATGTAAAATTTTCACCAGACAACTTATCTTCAACATATATTGTACCGTACTGTATATTTTGTGGTAAAATACTGGTAGCTTTAGTAAGCAGGAATTTACAATATGAATTAACTGGAGGAAATAAAATGTTTTGCAATTTTACCTTGTTTTTTTATTGAAATAGCCTTTAAAAATGTTTACCGCATTTCGGCTGTTTTAAAAAATTTTTACAATAATGTTTATCTCAGATTATAAAATAAACAAGAAATTACTTTAAAAAGAATACTTCTGTTGGTTTACAGCAGATAAATGTAAAAAGGGCTATAGAGAGGTTGTTTTTTTCACAGGACATTACAGTTCAAGGGTTTATGGTATTTATTTTTTCTACAATTATTTACTTTGAAAAAAAAATTTTCAACAGTAAAATTGAAGGTTACCATAACACTGGACCTTTTTGTCTTGTAGATATTTCCCTTTTTCATAACGGTACAGTCCTGGCAACCACAGCTGCTGGTATTTTACCGTAATTTTGACATTTTTTTGGTGTACAATTTAACTGGGAGAGCTCCACTTATTGTACTTATTGCTGACATTATTTAGCAGTTCCCAGTCTATCAAAAGTACTGTTTTGTCAATACATCTCAGCACTTATGTCCTATTAATTAACATTTTGGATTTTAATTCACCTGCTTACTACCGGTACTATTGTTAATATAAAGTTTTGCTTGAAAATATCTATTATTTTCAATCAGGATTTATGCTTTGAGGAGATTGTGTCTATTTTCCATTCTGCGTTGGTCATGTTTCCTGAGAGTATTAAATTTTAAATTCAAATATGAATATAAATATAAATATTATTTTAACCTCAGCTCTTGCAGAAACTTGATTCTCGAACTTTTTGGAGACAGCAATTATCTTTTACTAGGTCTAGTTGTTCTTGTCAGCTAACCCCACAATTTGTTAGGATTATTGTGAGGATATTTCACTGTTTTTCCTGCTTCTCCACAGAGACAGCAGTGATGCGCTTATGCAGATTTCCCACTATGTAATCCTGGGATTAGGTGCTCGATTCAGGAACTCGTGTCCCATTTCCATTCAGAAGGAAACATTATTTTGATTTGAAAATATTAATCATCTAATAATCCAAATCATTTACTCAACCCCAGAGGGGCTTATGTACTTCATTTCCTATTTTTTAATGTGAAAATCTAAAACACCCAAAACAACTTATACAGTGAATATTTATGTAAATGTCAAAAAAGGAAAATATAGACTACCTGGACTATTGTACCTTATATCATACCTCCCTAAACTTTAGCAATCATATGTTTTAGGTCACAGTCATGCAACACAAGCCTCTGATGATTTTTCCATGAATTGCTTATATCATAAAATATCTATTCAAGACAAACAAATCTGAAAATATATATACAAAAAATTAATTCATTCACTTCTTTTCATTCAACACTGCATACGTGATATGCTTCATATGATTTAGATAAGCAAGGTCTGCAGCAAGCTCTATTTAGGCTGGGTTTGTGTCGGAGAGCATATAGGCCATATAAAGGGCACCCTGATTGCCACCAGGCAGATAATTTCCTCTTCAGTGCCACAGCTTGTCTGAGAAAGATCGACTAAAAAGATATTATCAACAATATATAATTTCCTTTCGATCTAGATAGATATATGCATTGATGTGGTGGGTAGGCACAGGCACATATTTCTTTTTTAGCTGAAGACATTTCTTTTACAGATCTTTATAGTTTTTTAAAATAATTTTGTATTGCTTTTTTTCTTTTTTTGAGGTTTTTGCAGCACCAGTGGCTCATTATTTCAAAGTAGGCTGACAGGAAACGAGGTACAAGAGACGGGGAGAGACATGCTTATTTAGTTTTTAAGATCTAATGTTACTTTATGTATGCAGTGATAAACATATCTCCTTGAAAGTATGAAAATGCAGCATAATAAATAATCAATTGGGAATAAATTATGTTTTATAAAAACACAAAATATGTTCTTTATAATTATATACTTTAAAGCAATGTGCCAGTGTTTCTAATGTGCCTTACTCTTATTATAAGAAGCATCATGAGTAAAACG